TCTGCCTCCGGTCACCCCGCCTTGGAGCTCTGCTTGTCAAGACACGATGTCTGCTCCAGGGCCTGTGCTTTTGTGTCCTGTCTCTATCTCCTCTGCAAACACTTTTCATTCACTCTGAGTCCTTTCTGATCCATGTGGCAGTCACCTTACTCCACTGTCTGGGTGACAGTAGCCATGGTGTCTTTACTCTCACTGCTTAGCTCTGTGTTGTTTTGTTTTTTAACTGAATTCACTCATGCGCACATTTGTTTAGTGTTGAGTCTTCACACCTGTTCTCCCCTAACTGTTGGAGGCAATTTGTGGGGTCGGTTTTGTACAAAATATCTATTTTATTATTATATTTATTCATTTTGTAGGGGGAAGAGGCAATCTTTGGCTCTCTTGCCATTGTACTATTTAAAATCCATGTGCCTGTACCTCAAGATTAGGTCACAATGGCTGCAGGGACTTGTTTGAATGTGAAATGTCATATGAGAGTACTGTCAACACCCAGATCGAAATAAAATTCCATCAACCTGCTGGCAGAAAGAGTTACACGTGACTGTGACTGACTGTTGTATATCAAATGAAACCTGGTCTTTGATGAGATGATCTTAGCCTGTATTATGAGATGCCAAATACTCCTGTCAGTTCTTCCTTTTGCATAGACATTATTTAACCTACTAAAAGAAAACTATGTAGAGCATTGTGTCTGATTTCAATTTTGTTTTGTTTCTGTGGGGTTTTTAGTGGGAGGGACAGGGTCTTATTGTGTATTTCAATCTGGCCTCAGATTTACAGAGGTCTGTCTGCTTTTACCTCTCAGTACTGGGATTGAAGACTTGCATGCCTGGTAATTTGTTTTTTTTAATAGCCCATTGGTAAAGCACTGGCTAGGCATTCATAAGTCACTGCTTTCCATTCCCAGGGAGTACACACACACACTGAGTTTGAGACTAGTCTCTGTCTGGTTTTTCTATATGTCAAATGAAATTAAGAAGAGAAATTTGGCAGATTACAGATCACAATCATGTAAGGTTGTAAGTCAGCCTCTCTTTTGACTAATTTAGAAACATGTAACTGTAACACTCCTTTACCATCCTCAGCCTGTATCTCTTCTAAGCATATTTTCCCTTTCTCCGTGTAGCTCTGGCTGTCCTGGAACTCTCTTTAGACCAGGCTGTTCTTGAACTCACAGAGATCTGCCTGCCTCCGCCTCCAAAGTGCTGGGATTAAAGGCCTGCACCTGTGCCACCATGCCTGACAATTCACTCTTTCTCTAAAGTTTCCCTCCCTTCCCTATGACTGCTTGTTGGCCATGTGTCTGACCCCTATGCCAGCTTTTTTTTTTTTTTTTTTTTATTTTGTTTTTCAAGACAGGGTTTCTCTGTGTAGCTCTGCGCCTTTCCTGGAACTCGCTTTGGAGACCAGGCAGGCCTCGAACTCACAGAGATCCGCCTGGCTCTGCCTCCCGAGTGCTGGGATTAAAGGCGTGCGCCACCACCGCCCGCTATGCCAGCTTTTAAATGGCAGGATTTTCCCCCTTTTCTCCTCCACTCTCTTCTGCTGAGCAGCAGCTAAGGTTTTACAACTTGCTTGCTCTGGGATTTTTTTCTTTTAAATAAAAAAAATCTATTTTATGAATGTGTTGCTCATATGTATGTGTATGCACTAAGTGCATGCCTGTTGCCTGTGGGATCCTCTGGCACTAGAGCTATGGGTGGTTATGGATCTTTCATTGTAGATGCTGAGTGGTACTATATCTGATTTAGGATAATGAATGCATTTATTTGCAACTTGGACAAATTGGAAAGACTCACACTTCCTCTTGTCCTTTTCTGTGGCACTGTTATAATGCTATAGAAAAGATGAACTAGAAGCCAGAAACTAACTATCCTTGTGCTGCTGCTCTGTGAGATAATATCACCCAGGGAGGCAAGTTCTTCTGGTCTTTCCCTCCCTCTGGCATGGGTCCTGTGGAAATTGTAATTCCTTGGGTATCTATTGCTCCAAGTCTGACAGCTGAAGAAAAGGAAAGAATATTTCCTTCCCCATCAGGGCATCTGCCTAGGCTACTAAACTGCACCCCTCAGACAGCCAGGTCCTGAGGAAGAGACACTAGCACCAACACTAGTTCCAGTTGTCTAAAACGAGGACATGGTAGTGGAGAAGGACAGTACAAAAATGCTTCTTTTACCCTCTGAGGGCTGTAGAACTGACTTGTCAAATTCAAAATTACAATGATCTTTTCTTTTCGAGGCATCCCAGGTTTTCCTTGAATTCCTGATTCTTCTGCCTCCCCCTCAGTCATGGGTATGAGTCACTACATTATAATAGTTTACCCCCCCCTTTCTTTTATTTATTTACTCGTATTTATTTATTTGAGACAGGGTCTCTCCTTGTAGCTCTGGAATACACTATGTAGATAGACCAAGCTGGCCTCAAATTCAGAGATCTACCCTCTTCCGCCTCCTGAGTGTTGGGATTAAAGGTGTGGGCTACCATTACTGGCTATACTTATTTTTGAGATGGGGTCTCAACTCTGTAGTCCAGGTTGACCTTGTGGTAATTACCTTGTGGTAATCCTTCTTGTGGTAATCCTCCTGCTTCAGTCGCCTAATCACCCAGTCTCTAAAGCACAGCATGATTTAACAATCTTAATTTTATTTATTCATTTATTCATTTACTTATTTATTTATTTATTTATTTATTTATTTATTTATTTAATTTTTGAGAAAGAGACTAATTCACACAGCTCAAATCACTGTGAACTCTCGGCAATCTTCTAGAATGCTGGATTATAGGTGTGTGCTGTCACACCCAAGCTCAATCCTAACTTTGTTTTCATTTCTAGGATCAGGCAAGGCTTCCTGTGGTTTGTTTGATGGGCTGATCAAGGCAAGGCCCAGGAAGAAATTAAAAAAAGAAGCCATGGGCCTTTCACAGTTACTTTCCTAGCATAACAGGCTTGGGAGATCCCGAAAAGGAAAGACAACCTATAGGTAACCGTGAGGTTACTCTCTAAATGTAAGGATTAAGACAGTGGTAACTTCATTAGCATGTCAATTGAAACTGGGGAATTTTTTTCAGGAAGAGCAGTTTCTTAGGGTTACTATTGTTGTGATGAAACACCGTGACAAAGCAACTTGGGGTGTGTGTGGGGGCATTACTTGGCTTACACATCCACATCATTGTTCAACATAGAGGAAAATCAGGGTTGGAATCTGGAGGCAGGAGCTGATGCAGAGGCCATGGAGGATTGCTGCTTCCTGGCTTGCTCAGGGTCCTTTCTTATGGAACACAGGACCAACGGCCTAGGGGTGGCCCTATCTAGAAAGGACTGGGTCGTCTCACATCAATCACTAATTAAGAAAATGCCTGGGGCCCGAGAGATGACTTAGTGGTTAAGAACATTGGTGTTCTTCTAGAGGACTTATGTTCGGTTCCCAGCACCCACATGGCCGCTTGAAACTGTCTGTAACTCCAGTTCCAGAGCATCTGACACCCTCACATAGACATACTTTCGGGCAAAACACCAATCAATGTTCATAAAATAAAAATAAATTAAAAAAAAAAAACGCCCTACAGGTTTACCTACAGCCAAATTATTTTCTCAGCTGAGGCTCCCTCTTTCTGCTGACTCTAGCTTGTGTCAAGTTGATGTAACACTAGCCAGCACAAACAGGTTTAACTTTTGATCTCAGTGATTCCATTGCGAATTTTAGCCCAGCCTGTTTCCCCAGCGAAAAAGCTTCGTCTATAAAAAACGACCTGTTGTAATTTTTATCTAACAAGTCTATTAAATAGATGGGCAGTAGGCATATTAACAAAATAAAAGTATATACAATATTGTGCTCACGAGGGCACTACTTGAACAATATTCAGAACTCTTGTTATCTTTAGAAGCTTATATACCTTCCCTGCAGGTGAGATTGGGAGAGGATGTGGGCAACTGAGAGGAATCAGAGCACTGGGCCCTCAGAGTCAGGGCAGACTGAGTGTGATGTTGACCTTAGTCCCGAAGGTCAACTGTTTAATTTTGGAGGTCGAGTCTTTAGGAAGATGAGCTGGGCTTGGGAAAGCCCCACTGGAACTACTGTTTCTCATTACTTAGTAGAAGAAATTTTGCAAAATGCCTTCTGTCCAGAGTAAACTGGGCCTGGTGGATATTTGTAATGCAAAACCTGTAACCCCAGTTACTTCGAAGTCTCGAGCTGGAAAGTTCAAAGTCAGAGGAGGAAACTCAGTGGCACCTCGTCTAAAAATAAGAGGGCGGGGATAGGGCTCTAGGGTACAATGCTTGTTTAGCATGTGCGGGGTCTTGCAGTCAATGTCTAGCATTGGGAGAAAAAAAATAATTCTCGAAAAACCAAAACCAACCAAACAAAAAGAACAAAGAGAAAAAATTCTGTGTGGTGAGAAGGTGGTTGAAAATCAGACACTGAATTTTACTCGGCATTCCATGCTGGTAATGATGAAGTCTCTCAAGCTCCAAGTAAGTGATGACGGCTGGGTTCGGGACAAAGGAGGATCTCCTAAATCGGGACTGCTTGTCGACCTGGCCGACCTCGAGTGTGCTAGCCTTTCTTCCAAACCTCGGGACTACAACTCTCCACGTCCATAGGGCGTGTGAGTCACACTAAGCTATCTGATCGCTATCTCCGAACTTTATGGGTCAGTTTCCACCATCAGAGGCTTGAGCGTCCTTCCTCCCTGTCTGCTTCCGGGCAACCGCAGGCCCCTAGGTCAGTCAGTCAGGGTCGCCCATAAGTCACCGCCAGCTTCGGAGGCCTCCAGGCCCAGGACTAGCGCAGGGTGGCGCTCCCCGCTCTATTCTGCCGCTTTCGCCTACAGAGACTCCACTGAGTCTCATCGGCTAGGCTGGCAGAAGCCTCCCAACCTGAAGCCGCGGCTGCGGAATCCACGCGAACCAGAGCGGGCAACTGCTACTGCGCACGCGTGGCTTCAGGGCCGGGCGGAAGTCGCCGCCGCCGCGCCGCCACCGCATGACGCACTTCCTGTTTGTTGTTGGAGAAAAGGAGAGAAAGGAAAGCGCGAGGAGACGCCGCCACCGCCACCAGCGCAGCTGTCCCAGAGCCGCGAGGAGACCGGCCGCCCGACTTCCCCCCGCCTCGCCGGCCGCCGCGTCCTCGGTGAGGGACTTGCGGACTGGGGCGGAGAGCAGGGTTGGCGGTGGCGGGGGAGGAGGGCCGGCGGCTGGGTGCGGATAGGGTGACCTGCTCGGCGCCTGGGACACGGGCGCAGGGAAGCCGGGCCGACAGTGGGGTCGGGACTGCTCGCCAGGGCCGAGCGGGTTCCAGTCCAAGCTGTGGTCTAGAGTCTGGTCCTGAGGCCTAAGTTGTTCCTGGTCCGGCCCGGGTCTAGACTGGGTCCGTGGAAAGCGTCTGCCGTGCCGGCTCAGGCCTAGCCCGGGGCTTAGCTGGGGTCCGCTCCCCTGCCTCCCTGGTCTGCAGTGGCGGTTGGGCCCGGCACGCGCGAGGTCCGCCACAGAGCCACAAGAGTCGGCGAGACCGGTGTCACCCTGTCCTGGCATCCTCAATGCATTCTGCAAGCAAGGGGTCAGGTGGCATGCGAAGAGCAGGACTCTATGGGAGGCGCGATCACCGGGCCAGGCTGCCTAGGGGGCCGGGTGGGAGGGCCAAGGAGGTTTCCAAGCTTCTCCTGGGACTGTTGGGAAGTTTGCTAGGCAACCTTCCTTGCTCAGTTTACTTCCAAAACCCGTTTGCTGTTTGTTAGCCTTGAAGGGTGCTTTGCTTTGTTTGGGTTTATGTAACTAAAGTTTATGTAACTGAAGTTTACATTAATTCTCTTCGGTCTTAATTCTCTTCGGTCGTGTCGACAAGAGAACTCAAGCCATAAGATTGTCTTGAAAAAATTTTTGGTGATTTTATTTTACAGAATGGGTTGTTAGAAGTTTTAAAAGCTTGGTTACCGAAGTTGTGTGTGCACTGTTGAAAGGGGATGGAGGGGATGGTCCCGCCTTTTCAGGCACGCCCAAGCCGGTGGGGAGTGTAGGCCCAGGGCACCCACTTTGTTTTTATTAATGTCTTTAGTTGAACCATAGATTTGTGGTCAGGTTTTATGGTTAGTAAGTCTACTGTATCCCCGTCTTTGTAGGGCCTATAATCTAGGGAATTGAACTCCGGACTTTCTGCTTGCTAGGGAAGTGATAGCTACATTAAGGCACCTGCTTTAATAGGAAAAGGAGGGAACGGTCCTAAAGAAAATGCATCCTGGATGTTTGAACTTATTCTGTTGTTGAAGTAAACCTCACACCAGACTTAGAGATATATCTGAAAGGAATTGGGCACATCTGTTACCGGACGCCCTTATTCTCTGGGATGTCACCACCATTGCCCTCCGGTGTGTGACTACTACGGCTGTCAGTGATCAGTGCAGACACAGATCAGGGAACTGCACGTGGAGCTTTGGAATTGAGGAAAAATACGAGATTTGGGAAGAAATGCTGCCTTCTTGTAGGTATGCGTGATTGGATAGAAAGGAAAACAAAAAGTTTGTAAAGTAAGTTTCGTCTTCCATTTGCTGTTTGGCACAGGCAGACTTCTGAAAATTTGGCTTCTCATGTGTCTGTATTTTGAAGGAGAAGTTGGCCTTGTATTTTGAGACGGGAGTTCTGTGTAGCCTTGGCTGTCCTGGAACTCGGCAGTGTATGAATTCTGAGATTTGCCTGCCTCTGCTTCCCCAGTGCTGGAATGAAAGGTTTGCCCCACCACAGCCGGCTAAGTTGGCTTTTAAAATACTTTTATTTTTGTGTGCATATGAAAAGTGTGTTCTGGCACACTAATGAGAATCCTCCATCTTTTCGATCTCTCTTTTGCTAGTACTAACTCTCTGCATTTATATAGCTTACAGTACTGGATCTGAATTTGTTCCGTTTGTTTTTTGGACTTTAGGGTCTTACTGTGTAGCCCTGGAACTCAGTGATCAGCATGACTGCCTTTCAAGTGCTGGGCTTACGCCACCATATCCTTCTCCCCCTTTATTTTCTTTTGGCTACAGGTTTCACTTTTTAGCTGTAGTTGGCTTAGAACTTGGTATGTAGATGAGGATGGTCTGGCCTTCAGATCCACCTGTCTCTGCTTCCAGAGTGCTGGGGACTACAGTAGTGTTTCACCATGCTTGGCCCAGAGTACTTTTGGAGTCACTTCTCTCCTTTCATGGGTTCCTGGGGTGGAACTTAAGTTGTCAGACTTGTGGGACCGAATTATTTGGCCAGCAGGCCCAGCTCCATAGCCTGAGAAGTTGGCTTTTTTTGATTGGTTGGTTTGGTGTTTTTTTTGAGAAGGGATTCTTTTTGTAATAGTCCTGGCTGTCCTGGAACTAACTCTGTAGACCAAGGCTAGCCTCAGACTCACAGGGATCCCCCTTCCTCTGGGAGAAGTTGGCTTTTGAAGTTGGTTTTGTGCAGTGGAGATGGAATCAGATCACTGAGTTTAGAGTGGAGCATTTTCGTGGCACACACCTTTCATTGAGCACTGGGAGGCAGAGCCAGGTGGAGCTCTGTAAGTTCAAGGCCTGGTTTACAGATGGAGTTTAGAACTTCCAGGGATACACAGAGAAGCCATCTTGGCAAAAAGAAATAATTGCTTGAGGCAGGGACAGGCTAGTCTCCTGAGTTTGAGGTCAGTCAGGCCTACATAGAGTGAGACCTTGTCTCAAAAAACAAAAACACACACACACACACACACAAAAACAAACTCAAAACTGCCTTTAATCATAGCACTCGGAGGCAGAGTGGAGTGGATTTCTGAGTTCCAAGGCTATCCTGGTCTACAGAGTTGAGTTCTAGGCTAGCCAGAGCCACACAGAGAAACCCTATCTCTAAGAACCGAAACAAACAATTTTTTTTCTTATTGATTATCAGCATTAGATGTGTGAGATATTTAGGTTAAGGACAGACAAATAGTATACTGGGGTGGTGAATATTCTTTTATACTTTGGAGACTGAATTAGGAATTTCTCTGAATAGTGGCTCCACTATTCAGTCCTAGCTGTACTGGAACTCGATTTGTGGACCAATCTGACCTCTAACTCACAGAGATTCCCCCTGCCTCTGCCTCTCAAGTGCTGGGATTAAAGGTGTGCGCCACCACTGCCCTACTTGTAGCTCCACTTTTTAAGCAGTCCTGTTAGTATTAAGTGGTAGTACCATTTCCCTGTGTAAACCAGCAGCACTGTGTCCATAACAACTTGCAGAACCCAGATTAGGGCTAGTCTAGTCTAGTCTAGCACATCCTGAGAGTTTTGAAGAAGGTACTTCGTTAAAACTGTCCAGTAGATACCTGGTATGACAGAGTGTCTTTTTTTTTTTTTTTTTTTTTGGTTTTTCGAGACAGGGTTTCTCTGTGTAGTTTTGTGCCTTTCCTGGAACTCACTCTGTAGCCCAGGTTGGCCTTGAATTCACAGAGATCCGCCTGGCTCTGCCTCCCGAGTGCTGGGATTAAAGGCGTGCACCGCCCGCCCGCCCGCCCGCGCCCCCCCCCCCCCAGACCCCCCTCCCCCGGTTTGACAGAGTGTCTTTTACATTAAAAAAAAAAAAAAAAAAAAACTGAGTTCGAGGCCAGCCTGGGCTACCAAGTGAGTCCCAGGAAAGGCACAAAGCTACACAGAGAAACCCTGTCTCGAAAAAACAAAAAAAAAACAAAAAACAACAAAAAAAAAACTTTAAAATTTATTTATTTTTATTTTATGTGCATTGGTGTCTTGCTGTGAGTGTTAGGGTCCCTGAAACTGGAGTTACAGACAGTTGAGCTGTCATGTGGGTGCTGAGAATTGAACTCAGGTCCTCTGGAAGAGTAGTCAGTGCTCTTTAACCACTGAGCCATCTCTCCAGCCCATCTTTTACATTGTTTAATGCTTAAGGATGCTCACATTCTTAGACCACTTCTGATGCCTTCCCAAAGAGCAGGAAGGCGAGGGACTATAACAGAATCAGCCTTTTTACTTGATTTTATTTAACACCTTTGTTTTAGATAGAGGGTCTCAGGTACTTCAGGCTGGTCTGGAACTCATTCTGTAGCCAAGAATGACCTTGAATTCCTCCTGCCTCCACCTCAAAACAGCTGGGATACAGATATGTATCACTATGTCCAGCTTTGCAGGATTCTTAAAAACTTTGCAATCCTGTGTTAAGCCTGGTTAAATTCACCCAGGACACCATCTGGTGGTGAAGGGCCTGCAATTGCAGATGTTGAGTGTGTAGGAGGGATTAATGGTGAATTAATGTTATACTTGTTTTCTCACATACAGAATTTAAGAGAGAGTTTAACCTTGGGAATAAAACCAAGGTCCAAGGGCTGTGTACTATGGGTCTGTGATACCAGTATTCAAGAGGGTGTAAGGCAGGAGAATTTTAGGTGAAGGCCATCTTGGTCTATATAGTGAGATCCTATTTTATTAAGAAGAGAACAAGCAAAAACTTGAGATTAGTGAGGAGGAGGAGCTGGTGCAAAGAATGTGACAGAGATAATATCATCATGCTAGTGAGAGGATTCAGCAAGGTAAAGCATACACTGCCTGAAGACTAGAGTTTGATCCCTGGGACCCACAGAAGGGTGGAAGGAGAGAATTAATTCCTTAAAGTTTTCTTCTGGACGCCATATGTGCCCCTCCCCCAGTAAGATCCAGTAGGAGGGAGAAATGGGCCATTTTCTTCTGAGGCCACACCATCACACACAGGGTTGTATGCTTTGATTTCTGAGTGCTCCCTAGGCACTGCTTAAAACTGTTCAAATCCCTTAATAAACTGCAACTCTGCTTTAAAAAAAAGGGTGGGGGAGAACTGAACGCCTGGAGACTGACTTACTAGGTAAGTCAGCTAGCAGGAATGCTTTCTTTCTTTTTACTTTTTTTTTCTTTTTTCTTTTGGTGTTTTGAAATGGGGTTTCTCTGTGTAGCCCTGGCTGTCCTGGAACTCTCTCTGTAGACCAGACTGGCCTTGAATTCACAGATCCACCTGTCTTTGTCTCCAGAGTGCTGGAATTAAAGCCACTGCCTGGCTAGGAGAGACAGGGTCTCTGTAGTCCTGGCTGTCCTGGTTGAACAGCTTCAAACTCACAGACATCCTCCAGTCTCTGCCTCCCATGTGCTAGTAAAGCATTACAGGAGTGCA